CATGACTGTTTGTACCCTCGTTGATAGTTTCGTACTCTGACTTTTTGCCAGCAGGAGTGGCAGACTCCGTCTTCGACGTAAGGGTCAGGTTGGTCAATGTTCGTTGCCATCAAGGGTGGCCTGTGAATGCTAAAGTACAGCTCGAATCTTTGCATGCAGGACTCTTGTTCTGACAGCTTTGTTCGGATTTCTGTGGGCAGTTTGATATTGCTCTGTTGTAAACATATGGAAAATCTAGATGGCTCTGCTCCATGTCTGTAGCCAAGGCACGGCGTGCGCACCGCCCCCGTGAGCACCGCCCTCAGGTTTGCCGTGGTGGTTCGGAAACCCCGCCCCCGACAGCAGAATGCCATGGGTCTAACACTTCAGCACTGGGCATCCCCGAGTGGAAGTTTTGAGGCAAGCCGTGTAGCACCCGTTCCAGGCCCAGACAACTCCTAGGTAGGCTTTTGATGCATGTTAGATTTTCCCTTATTGGGCTTGAGGGGATCTTAGTTACGAATATGCTTCAGACGTTCAGAGGCTTTAAGGGACGAGCCTAGGCTCTGACAGAAACATGGAAACAAACGAAGAGATCCACGGCCCAGGAAGCGAGTCGATCTTGTGGACGGATTATCGTGCCCCACAAAGGGTATGTAAGGGTTTCGGGCTTTAGGTTAGGGGCGTTTAGGGTTTGTGGGCTCAGGGTTTAGTTGATGAGAAGGGATTCGATGGGAATGCTGGCCACAACTTGGGTAGGTTCCGCAAGCATGTTGCGACGATCGTGTGGGGTGTCAAGGTGGTACTGTCCCGCCTTCTCGGCAACTTGGAAACAGCGCATTGAGATTTATGCCCCGCAGCAATCAACCCAAACCCACTGATGGGGAGCAGGCTTTTTGCTTTTTAAGTCTCCAAACAAAGGCTCGTTCGGGGCATGATTTCGGACAGGCTTGGCTTTGGGGAAAGGATGATGGTGGCTGACAGTCGGGTTTGTTGGTTGGTTCATCAAAGTCTGCGGCTTGAGCTTTGATTATGTGCCGCCTCAGCTCATGGGCATCCTCAGACTGTGCGTGCTGTGATGATCTCAGTATGCAGGCTGGCCTTAAAGACAACGGTGTATGGCTTCTTGTGCAGGAGTCTACCAAAGCTACCAACCTCCAAATGGCTTCGAACATGGGATGTCACGAACTCGCAGAATTGCTTGTATGTTTCGTGTCTGCATAAAAACCAGGTACACCTGTGCAGAGATGCACGAATACTACAAAGCCTGGCCTCGCCCCCAGCTTGGTGCAGGGTGTGTACACACAAAGAAAGCCCCGTGGGGCGCACGCATAGATATGAGTTCATATCCAGCGTATTGGTTTGGAACATCTATGTTCCTCGTGTTTTCCATACATGGCTCATTGAGCACAAAGGTCTTACACCTTAAACCCCGAAGACTAGCTCCAAAGCCCGCTGAAGCATTAAACCCTAGAAAGAGCCCGACAAAACAAAAGACCTACATGCTGGAGTGGTCCGTCCGTGTCGGTGAAGCGGGATCATGAAGACAGATCCCCCAAGGCTTAAACATAAACGCTCTGCAGACAGACCCCCGGCGTTGTGTCCTTCACTTGCTGTGCCACCGAGGCCTCCCACCTTGGGCCTTGTTTGTTCCAAGAGCGAAATTATCCTCCTAAGCTTCTCTTCCTTTCGGTCTTTGTCAGGCCCTTGACTGTCCATCTGAACCGCATGTTGCCGGAGACAGCACAGGGACAACCTGGCGGTCGAACTAACCAGCAGACATGAGCAGAAGATTGTTGTGCGAGTGGTTCCTGTACATCTTACATGGCTCAATGCTGGTATCTGGGCGAGTGTCGACACTGACAGAGTTTATCCTCGTGAACACAACATCTTGTCAAACAAATTCACACGAAGTTACCACTGCAGCAGCTCGAAAGGGTGCAAGACTTTAAAGCAGGTCAGTTTCTGTTTGTTGGTTATTTGTAGCTCGGGATCTACTGCTTCGGATAGTGCTTCGGACTTCATGTTCGCAGACTGTTTTCAAGTTGCTTCGGATGCCGGTGTTTATGTATGGCGCACACTCAAGCGTTGGTGGTCGTCCTCCTTCATGACCAAACCTCCGATGGTTCGCTTCCCCACGCGAACCGCTTCGTGACTGGAAAATCGACACCGCATCTGGTAAGCTTTTTATTTGTGCAGGCGATGCCATCTGCAGGCGCGCGTCAGACTGTGGGGAGATTTCTCGTCTCTTAATTTCGTTTTTTGAAGTAAGGGGTTCCCTGTTCGAGCACCGTCGGTTCTGAAGCTCCCCGGCTTGCGACAGACCGTCTCACACCCGAAGCTGCGCAGCCTCCGTCCCACTACCCAGAGCAAAGTTCACAGACGTCCAGACGTGTGAGACCCTGTAAGACTGTTATCCCAGTATAAACCAAACTTCACTAGCTTTGATTAAGAGCTCCTGAAGAGCCCTTGTTGAAACCTCATAAAGCCAAGAGTGCCTAAAATGATTAATAACATCCGAAGATTCGGCGTGCCTCAAGTATTCAAGTTCGTTCTGAACCGCACTAATGAGCACTTCTCGCTCACGATGCCATTGTTAGACTGAGAGCTGCAGGGGCAGACAATGAAGTACCTTAGTTTTCATATCGCTCTTCGCGGCAGGACCACCCATGCTGCACCCCTTCTGCTTCACAAGTTTGGCAGTGCACCGTGACGCAGGACGTCCGCCGGCAACGCCAATGCGAGCAGGCTCGGCTTGGGCCGGTCTTAACAGTCTTACAAAGGATCTTGCTGTTTCGGGCTCGTCTATATCGGGGCATCAGGGTCACCTATTTTTCGAAACTCGTTGCCTGGGTTTGGAGCACCACACTTGAATACTTGTTTGGTACTTGTTCCTTATTAAAGGAACCATTGTGACATGCAAGTTTGCACCTTTTTCTCCATGGTTACTTCATCAAAGTCCAGTATAATAAGACCGAGCACATCCCGAGCCTGATGCATCTAGACTCGTGAAGATCTAGGGAATGTTCAAGACAGGCCCGTTGAAGCTACCAAACTAGGGCCTAGGGCAGTTGACCTGCCAGGTGCGAATCCTGCCTGCATCCAACTGAAGGCCATGTTGTCGGCAGCTTTGCACAGGGTTGCCTTTATGGGAAGGGACGGGATTGGGCTTCGGTCTCCAGGGCGTGATTTCGGTGTGATTTTGTGAGAAGGTCCGACCATTCCTCTAGTTGTGCGACATCGATTCTGTATTTTTTGCCACACAAACTAAACATGGTCGAGCACACCCCGAACAGTAATGACTTAAAGAGGTGCGCCTTCGACAACTAGAGCCCCAAAACTTCAAATCCGGACTTGAGGGTCGCGTGGATTTCTTCACCAACACTCTTTAATCTGAAAGGGCCAATCAGAATCCACAAAGATGAGGTGCAAAAACGACTATGGAATTCGAGCCCGCTAGGCCAAGGCAAAACAGAAACACCAGCAACAGCCTGTGCAACAGCAACAATCACAACCACAACCACAACAACAATCACAGGGTTGTTTTGGACATGTAGGCTCTAGTTTGTTTCTCCCCCGCCGAAGCCTACGACAGCCGCACCCGCAAAGCCCGCGCCAAGCAGCGAAAGGCGGAGCGGATATAGGATCCCGAAGTCATTGTACGAGCATTGGCATGATAGGCATGTACTGCTTTCCATAGGTGCGTAGTCTTTCCTGAACATATGGTAAAGCTGGAGGGCTTTACACTTTAAATCAAAGGAGCAGGGGCACAATGCAGGGACCCAGGCAATCATTTTTTGCGTAGTGTCCAGAACCTCGTACTGGTTGGTCTCTTTTTTCGTTTTCTCTGCTTGTTCGTCGAAACAGCCAACCTCTCCCATGTCTGAGTGGTCCTTAAAGAACCTGATGTGGGGGAGCTCCAGGAAAGGGTCTCGAAACTACACTGGAGAGATCCGGCTCCAGCAAGTAGAGCCATCCACAGAAGTAGACATTGAAGCCGCCACCAGCTGTCCTCCCACCTTTTCGGTATTTACAGCGCGCCCCACATGCCCCGCCGACACACTGACCAGCTTTAACCGTATCCTTCGGATTTCTCTGCGGCTTTGTGTTTTCATTCTACTGCTGTTACATGTACAGGACACTGGCCGCGCCTTCTGGTGAACATGGCTCGGCACACAGCGAAGCAGATCTTGCTGGAAAACACCGTGATGGCGCAGAGATAACTATGCTAGAGTGTGGTGTCCTGAAATACTAGCATACCTTTGTGCTTCGGGCAGATCCATCCTTGGGTTTTAAAGCATTTGTGTTTGTCTGTGTTATATGTGCTTTTATACACACTGAGCTCTGTTCTATACACGTATGTAGGTATGTTGTTTGTATGAATACCGGTATGGTTGTATGCCGGCTTGCATACAAACAGTCAAGTAGGTAGGTAGGTAGGTAGTTGTAGACAAACACGCAGGCAGAGACGTATGTAGTTTGCATGTTGGGGCCCTTTCGGATGTAGAGTGTTTAGGTTTACGGTCCAGCGCAGACTTCGCCAACAGTTCAAGGCTTGGGAAAAATAATAACACATCCTGATGCTGCAGGTAGCTCCTTCTCTCCCCTACAACAGGTTGTCAAACTGCTCCTTATGGCAATGTGTTGAAGAGTGCCAAGCTGACAGCCAAGTTTCAGCTAAATATCAAACGATCCAGCATCGCATTTCTGGGGTTTACAGTCGGCAGGAACGGTGGTGCCAATGTGGGAAGCTGCACGACGGCAGATGAAGTTCAATGTTGCAAGAGACCCTCAGTCATCAACGGTTGTTTGTTGAGATTACTCCTTCATGCGAGGCGAGCACAACACCTCCATGCCTAACTTGTTGGTTGTTGCCTAATGGCCTAATGTTTGGGATATCGCACTGGGTTCCAGAAGATGAGGGTTCCGGCTCGACCGTCATTCTTATTTCGCTGACGTTTCCTGCTCAGCTGCGCCTCCGACTGACACTTGGCCTTTTTTCCCTCCGTGAAGACGCGACGATGGCCTTGTTCGGTCGGCGTGTGGTACCCAGAGGTCCGACGTGCCGGAAACAGATGCAGTGAAGGTCGTAGCATGAAATTGACAGCTTGTCGTGGATTTGCATTGCGGACAGCTGCAAGCCGCAAAACCCTCAATGCTTACGCCCTACCACACGAACCGTCCCAAATCAAATGGAAAGCCCAGGTCCGGCTAATGAAAGCCTTCGCTTAAGTAAACGCTGCCAATCCTCTGACTGCCCAGAGCGTAGCGACAATTGAAAGATCATGGCACCTAGTATGTGAAACTGTTAATGCACACTATATGAGCTTGGCTGTCCGTCGTTTTAAGCGCTTGGAGACCAAACTTTGCGATTTCATGCTGCCTCACTGATCGCCCAGCTGCTGAACCCCTATAAAGCCCTCATGCAGTGCAGCAGGCGCCGGTCTCATTCGATTCTTCGCTGCTGGCGGAGCCTCCCGGCTTGTCACAAGTGTGGGCCGCATCAAGATTGTTACTTCAACTATGTTCCAAGAAAAATCGGGCCCCCTGAAGCGCATGGCAAAGAGCAAGGACCCTGAACGGGATTGGTTGCAAAACCACCATATGTTCACAGAACGAAGGAATGTTGCCGTGTTTCGTATTGTGATTCATAGTTGGTTCTGGTATAGTACAGGATGGCACACCCGACTGTCACAGGTCAATGTAGTATATCGCAGAGTTTTTGACAAAACTTGAGCAGTACAGGTGAAAGGATCAGGGGCTTAGGAAGTGGTCAGGAATGCGCAGCGTGAGTTACCACTGGTTTGGGTTATCTTCTGTGCAACCTACTTCCCCGAAACTCGCGCATCCCAATTACGGTTTGGAGGTAGGGTTTAGCCCGGTTTGGGAATCATAGCACATGGCAGTACGACTTTGAAGCTCACCAAAGCCGTTGCGCCATCACCCTGGGCGGCAGTGCATTGATGGCTCAGCATACAAAACCTGGGTAGGTGCAACAAGGCAAACAGAAGTCTAAGCCCAAGTCGCTAAACTTGCCGCTAAACAGCAAAGTTGGCCGTGCTCGGGGTGTGGAATGGAGGTTAGCGCGAAGGAGTCTAGAATCCAGGCCACGACGCCCCAGAGCTCGAAGTAAAGACTACTTTCTGGGTTGTTTAGGGTTAGGGAGTAAGGTTGATATGGGGGTTTAGGGCTCCTTTCAGCCCACCTTCTACAACTCACGGCCATAGACCAGGAACCCTAGGGTTTTGCATCCGAAAGTCCTCGACTCCGTACTCCTCCAGCCTGGACCCTACCCGCAAATGCGCAAAGACAGAGCAGTCAGGAATATGATCTCTGCCGGGGGGCCCAGCCTGGTTTACCAGTGAAGCAGAGTCTAACAGGTGCAGGTTAAATTACATACCCCAAAGGAGCAAAAGTAGCCAGGTGGCACTGTGGGAACTGTGAGTCTTTCCCTTATGGTCCGATAGAGCTACGTATTCGCAACTACTCCTGGGTAAATTACAACACAGCAAAGAAAAGCACATAAAACAATATGATGTCAGAGTTTAGTTGTGGGGTTTCATTATTCCAGCCCTGAAACCGCCAGCCTACCCAGCACATCCCGTGTTTCGGTTTAGGGCTTGGGGGGAATATGGGGGGATTAGGATTTTAAGCTCGTGGGTTGGAGCTTATGTGTATGAGAGGCGTTTGCTAGTTTGGGGGCAGGCTTTTCGCATCGTGATCAGAGGACGTCATGGTGCCGAAGTTCTACGCCCTAATACCTATAGTCTCCACTTTGCCTCCTTGTTTTCCTTAACCAACAGTCTATACGGGAGTTTGCGAAAATTGAGGGCACCTTATTTTGGGGTCCCCACGGACAGCTTATGGTTCAGGTTGCAGGGTTTGCTGACCACTCCTAGGTGAAGCTGCATGGTAACACTCTATCGGCTGTAGTTGTGAAACTGCAGCTCCAAAATGAGCACTGTTGAACTTCTGGGCTCTTGCAAGACAGTCTTATGCTGAAGCTTCGCAACTTAAGCGAATAAGCCTCAAGAGCGCTGCCAAAGTACGTAAACTATGCACATCTTCCTGCCCCAAGGCAGGGCCAACTTGCATAGGCCTGACACCAGATTCGGCATTGAAGCGCATCAGTATTCTGTGGTACAGTCTACGACAGGGTTTCCGAAAATGTTGATGTCAGAAGATGCCACTTGCTGCATGCTTGTCGACCTTAACTCCTTAAGTCGGAACCCAAGTGACTATTATCCTGGGCCCACGTGCCCAATTAGCACGTACCTTTGCACTCTGACGGCCCCTCTCACTCAAACCCCGGTTTTCGAAATCATATAGTTCTTCTAGAACCCTTGGTCGGGGGCCCCCTTGTAACCTAAGTAGGTCTAACCCTTTCCGAAGCCCTCTGTAGCCTGGAGCCCCTTATAGCATCGCCCCCTTCGCGGTTGCTTGGTGTTTAGTGCTTAGGGCCTTTAAGCATGTCTAAAAGGAAATGATAACCAGCAGTCCTAAAGCGGTTCCTTGACGTTTAGAGTAAAGGGCCTTTATGGACTACCAGGGAATCATAACAAGGAACCCTGAACAGGTGCGTTTGCCGGGGTTGAGGCGTAGATTCGTTCTTGCAGCCCCCAAAAGTGTTGGGCCCTGACCCTGAGCCTAAACCGAATACCCCAAACTTGAGCCTTGAACCCTAAGCTTACATCCTAAGCCCTAAAACAATCCTAAGCCCCAAACCCCCAAAAGACGTCGGAGCCGTTTCTCAGGGAAAGACGATAGTAACTAAAATGGTTTCCTTAGTATGGTAATTTAAGCTAAATCCCTAAGCCCTCATAGAATCCTTAGAGGAACCTTCATAGAACCCTTAAAAGGAACTTCTAGAGATCCCTTAAAGGAACCCAGTTTCCCCGAGAGAAAAGACGAGGTGTGATCGGAGCCGGCCCTGGAGGCTACACAGGCCAGGGCCTTTGGCTCTCTAGGAGGGCGATCTGGGGTTCGGGGTTTTCGGGTTTAGGGGGTTTAGGGGTTCAGGGGTTTAGGGCTTAGGATCTGGGGTTCGGGGTTTTAGGGTTTAGGAAGCAAGGGGTTCAGGGGTTTAAAGTTTCGGGCTCGAAAGGGTTCAGGGTTTAGGGGTTTAGGGTTGAAGGATTCCGGCTTTTTGAGATTGGGGCTTAAAAGGTTTAGCGGTTAAGGGTTCAGGGTTTTAGGTTTGGGGGATTAAGGTTAAGGTAGCGAGGCAGGTTTCAGGGTTTTGAGGTTTTGTTTGGTTCGCGCTTTCGGGGTTCAGGGGTTTTTGTTTGAGGTCTCAGGTGGGTTGAGGGTTTAGCTGAGCTTCGGAGTGTTGGGGTTAAGGGCAGTTGGGGGGTCCATGCATGCAGGTCTCGAAGGGGTGCTTGTGTTTTTCCTTGTTCGTCCTACCCGGCTAAACCGGAAGAAAGGAGCAAGGGTACCAACTTGCAAAGGGCCGTTTAGGGTGCATTTGCTTGCAGGGAGTTGTGTCATCTAGCAGAGTCTGGAACTGGCTTGAGGTTTCGGGTTGAAGGTTTGGACTTGGTTCATGTCAAAAAGCTGATTCCCAAGTCCCGAGCCTAAGACCTAAACCCTTTAAGCCCTATCCCCAAACCCTTGGTCATGGTGTAGGGTGTAGAACAAAGACAGCGAAGATCTCGCGGAAGATCTCGCGATTAATTCTTCAGCTGGAAGTTCCAAAGCACACACCAAAAAGATCCCAATGCAAGCAAGCACCGAAAAAGGAGTTCTAAATTCCTAAATACATTACGCGCTGCACCTCAAACCCTAAACCCCAACGCTGAACCCAGAGCCCTCAGAAGGCCCCTGCGCGGGCCCTCTGAAACTGTGCAGGAGCCATCAAAGCCGCACAGCTCGGCTTGAAGACAGTTTGCATCGACAAGCCGGGCCCAAAGAGATCAACCCTTAGCAGCAGGGTGGGTACATTTTAGCGTTTGTAGTACATAATCCCAAAGTTTAACCTTTAGTTCCCCCGGATAAGAGAATACCTAGAACCCGGCTGCCCCCTCTACTTTTGCTACGGAGCAACAGGACTATGTGGAAGGGTTTCTTGAAAGGGCTTTTTCCTTTCATAGGCAAACGACGAAGCCGGTTGAAGGAGCTAAAGATCTTCCGGGCCCCCCAGCTTCAACATGTGGAGCTGCAAGCACTGCATAGCGCAGGAGGCTAAGTTATCATGAACCCCAAACCGTGTAGGATTTACGGCATGAAGTCAGGACTCCGGTCTCCGTCGGTTTCTGGACTTTCTCGTACAGGGTCGAAGGTTTAGTTTTCGGGCTAATGGCTAGATTTTCAAGGTATAGCTGAGGTTGATGCTTCGGGTAGCCAGACTCGCGAACAGTTCCAGCATGTGCACCGCTGAAGAGGTCGTCACGTAAATCCTAACCCTAAGCCCTAAACCCTCCTTCCTGGTGTCTGCTCCGATCGCCTGATATTGAACGCCATGTACCTTGAGGTGAATGTCTAGGGGTGGGGAGGAGAAAGAGAGACCTGCATGTCATCAAGAATAACCTATGCAGCCCGTCGGGTCGTTTGACAGCTGCCCTAGTTGATTTATCCAAACGTCCTAGACCTCGGACTTTAGGATTTCATGCCCCTTCTTGGCCGCGACCTTCGCAACATGCTCCATTTGCTGAGGCGAGGTCCTCCGGGTGGCACCTGCTTGAATGCGGCTTTGCATACAAATCAAAGTTTAGATTGTTTCTGTGGCTTCAGGATGAAAGCTTCTATTCCCTCTGGTTCAGCGAAACCCTGAAGGTTCAATGCCAACGTTTCTTCCATTCCCAGCTTTGGCTTCGGCTGTAAATTGGGGCTGATATAGGACCCGCCCGCAGCAGAGCAAGTAAACAACGATATCGGAGTCTTCCTCCCTCGAGAACAAAACAAGAACAAAAGACCAGGAGACTCTGCGACATTGGGGTGAAAGCTTAGAGTCAACCCCAAAAGATAAATTGGAAACTATAAAAGGCAGCCAGGATGCAGACCGGCCAAATTCTCAACAAAAGCCCTGAAATCGACAGCTGCTCTTTCAGCCCTGCGGTAGACCAAACAAAGATCAAACCTGGATTAAGCACGGTTTGTGCTGGGCTTGTATACATTACTCTTAACGTTGGAGGATTTGGAGGTTCCAACTTTTCAGGGTTTGCTAGAAGCGTCCATAACTCTAAATCGCCCAGCCTCAAACAGCAATGCGCTAAGCTTGGGAACCCTAGCATAGTCGCCATGAGCATATGCGAGGCTCATACATGCATATATATATATATATATGTATATAATCATACGGTTCGATTATAGTGTGTACAGTTTTAAAGTATCAGGCCTTTTCTACAAGATTCTGTACGGTTTATACCACGAGACCATCTCGGGGCTCCGCAAGGTTCAATGCTACGGCTCTCGGGGGGCTCTCAGGTTCTGCAAGGCTTGGTGAGATTTCAAGGGCTTTTTGGTGTTGGCTGTAGAGATTAGCCTGAACAAGTATCAACAGCGAATCTCACGGCTGTGGGGTCTTCGTCTATTTGTGGTATACGGTACCTCAGACCGGCCTTGAATCACGTTGAAAAATTTGGGACCCAACAATAACGCCTCAGAAGCCTCTCAGACTTCGGCTGTGTGGCCCTTAGCCATATTTCAGTTCAACTTTAAACCAAAACCTGTGAAGCGAAAACCCCATCAAAAACCAAGCCCAAGACAGAAGCTCACATTGTCTCTTGATTAACGTGGATTGAGATTAAGGCTTAGAAATTAAGACTTAGAATGGGCTCTGGTGATCTTCCGGTTAAGGGTTTAGGGTCAGGCTTTAGGGTGTAAGCTTTCAGGGTGTAGGGTTTAAAGAATTAGGGTGGTTGGGCTTTAGGGCAGTAGATATGGTTTTCCCATTAAGAAGTTTCTGAGCTTCTGAGGGTTTTTGAGCTTTAGAGCCTGATAGAGATACAGAAATTGGGTTCTAGAGGCTGTGGGGGTTTGGGACTTTGCTTGCTCCAACTGCAAACCCTGACTCAGGTCGGATGCATTCCGTCCAAGGCTCCTGGGAGGGCCCTAAACGGTTCTGTAAGGATTCCATATGTGCCGTGCAGGGCTTCATGGTTTCAGAGTCAGAAGCTGCTGGCCATGGCAAGGATGATGCCACTAGCCATGAGGTATTTTTGGTGACGGTTATGACGGTGTATTGGACAAGCGACTTGATGATGTGCCGCCTAGCAAGCCTCGAGCTGCCCAAGTGCCCCAGCCTCAGCCAAGAGTTTCCTCAGTGATGGCGAATTAGCTCGGTATCAAGCCAATGCCAGGCAGCCGCCCCACAGACTAGCATCGGCAACTAACTGTCAACATCATCCACATAATCATGACTGCGGGGCTCGAAATACTGCCACAGCCTCCGACGTTGTGGACTTTTGGCCCAAAAGTCTCGAAGGATCCTTAGGATGGCCCTAAACCCTAAACAGCCTAAGTCGCCACAACCATGGGTGAGCTCCAGAAAGTTGGAGCATGGATTTAGGATGATTAGTGCCGGGACTCACTATACTTTACCTGAAGGGCATGAGGATGATGAGGATGTTCCAGCTTCTGGATTCCGGATAACGGATGTATTTAAGTTTCCAGAATAAGGAAACAATGGTATTTACCATAGCGCCCTATTATGGTAACCTGAACTAAGATCCTCAACAAGAACCCACCGGCAGGCTCTACTCCATAGCTCAGCGATGCTCCACGAGGCACAGAAGACCTTCGAGGAGCAACCCGGCGAGATCTTATTCTAGGGCTTATATCAAGACGGAGCCTGATTGTGTTGGTGGTTGTGGTTTGGAGTTTTGCAAGGGCATTAGGGCTTTTGTAGGGGTCTTATGGGGGCGACACTTTATAATTCTGCAAGCAATTCAGGGTCAATGGCCTAGGGTGAGGTTTACGAGTCAAGCAGATGGGGCAGCTTTTTAGGTGTGTTCAGTTTCTGGGTATCGGGTTTAGGGTTCCTTGGTTTGAGGGGTTGAGGCTTAAGCCTTTGGAGAGGATGGGCCCTGCTGCACGGGAGCAGAGGGTCTTTATGATCCATGTCGTTGCCTGAGGGTTAAGGACGGTTTGGTGCAAGGTTCTTGTCGTGTGCCTTGTCGGTTCAGAGGATCCGGATTTGGGCTTTGGGGTTTCGGCTCTGTTTCCCTGAACCCCAAACAATCAAGGTGTGTTTAGGCGTTTAAGGTTTAGGTTTTAGGGAAATTCGGAATCCTATGGTGCGGACCCTTCGCGGCAGAAGCCAAGGGTTTACGGCTCAAGGGTTTACGGATAGGGTTTTCAGCGCTAGTGCAACAAACCGATTCACTTTGATGGTGTCGGACAAGCATGCTCCATACACGCTCCAAAGCAGGGTCCGAAGTCCTACATCCTCAGACATGATCCTAAACCCGAACCCTAAAGCCTAATCCCAATTCTGAAAAAGAACCCCACTCCCCAGCTCTTGTCCCGAACCCGGCCCCCCTACACTGAAATACATCCATACATGTAGATAATAGCCATTATAGTTACCCTAATCAAAAATCCAACTACCGCTCTCCGTTGATCTCTGAGGCGAGGGATCAAGGGCTCGGCTGCTTGGCGAAGTTCAGCCCCAGACCTGCAACGCCTGAGACTCCTAGAAATTCCCCCAAACCCCCCCCGAATTCAGGAATATCCTTTGAAGCGCGCTAGGCATCCCGCAAGATAGATTCCTGAAGTCAAGGATTTTGCAAGCTTTGGGCTGCTAGGGCTTAGTCAGGGTTCTACTAAATCTTGTAGAGGTTCTATAGGGCTTTCTTGTTGGTCAAGAGGATGCAGGGCTTTGAGGTCTAGGGTTGCGATTCGCGGTTTGGGGTTCGAGTCGAGCATTGATGGTTCGCGGAAAAGGCTCTAGGTTTGCGTGTGTAGGGCGCAGGATTTGTGGTTTCGTGTTTGGGGTTTAAGGTTCGCGCAGGCCTCAGCGACTAAGCATTTAGAATTAGGGACAGAGTTTTGGAGTTCAGGATCTAGATTTGTGCGCACCTGGTATTTCCAATCCTGGAACTCGTCCTAAAGCCCACCAAGGCCCAATAGACCCACAATTCCCAGAGCCCTAAACAAACTGGAGACCGAGCCCAACTTGTGGCTCCGAGGACCAGCTAGCAGTAGACTTTCATTTTAGGTTCCTGCACCCGAAGGCTCAAAAACGAACCTCCTAAAGCTAAAGAGGTGCCTGTACCTGCCAGCTGCTAGTAAGAGCTCAGGGTTGTCGATTGTCTTTGGGTTCGGAGCTTTTGGCTAGCAAGGATCTTTCTGATGGAGGTCGGCTTTATACGCTTTTCGCGGTCGAAAGTTCTCACAGCATCTTGCGCCCGGGCGACGTTGTTTAATATAGGGGGCCTTAATAATTAGAATAGGGTTTTGTGGCCCATTATGCTACACTTATCATAAGGAGCCCCCAAAATAGTATAAGGTAACTATTCAGGCCCCTATATAAATCGCAGACATCACCAGGTCCCGCGACTCCCAAAGCCTCCGAAACCTGAGCTCTAAGGTATCCCGAAGACCCGAAAGCCCAAGCCCTGGTAACCGGCATCCTGCGGCTTTGTGAAACCCGAAGCTCCTAGCCTCACACCTGGTAGACAATGACTGGCATGAATGAATGCTTTCAGTCCTAACAGCCAAGTCCAACTCAAAAAATCAAGCTTAACTCCCATGCACTGAAGGCCCTGCAGCCTCGAAAGCTTGCGAACCCGGAGTGAACGCCGCCCAAGCATTGAGATCATGGTTATAAGGAACCTACGCAGATATTGCCCAATGACAAGAAACCGCAGCAGCCCTAAACCCTGAGCCGGGAACCTCGACGTGCAAAGTAAGTAACCCTCCAAGAGGCCGGGCTCTCCGTTGATTTCGACAAGATGATGGCGAACAAGGATGTGGGTTAGGTTCGGGTATGTTGGATACAGGTTTTGACATGGTTCAACAGGACCCAAATTGTCTTCCCAGAAGGTTCAAGTAACCAGATGGCATGGATTTCTGGCGACTCGTAATATTGCTCTGTGTGGTTCCCTAATATATTCGTAGTATAACAGCTCTCGAAACGCCCCAGCGGTAGCTTTTTCGAGCAAGGATTGCGGCCAGGGCCTGTAACCTGGTTCGTGTCGGTCCAAATCTGACAGCGGATATATATATATATATATATACATACATACATACATACATACATACATACATATATATATATAGAGAGAGAGAGAGTTGTGGTCCATCCAAGTGGCTAAGAATTTTTTGGACTTTGTCCTTCGGAGTGCTTCGGTTGCATGGCGTGGCTTCTGGGCCCTTGGCAGGCCCTAGCAGTTCAGGGGATTGCTGGAGTTCTGACATTGGGTATCGTGTGTCGATGTGACGTGAGCCATACGGACTCGCAATAAGGAGACAGTCTGGTACCTCAAAATATGAATTGCCCAAACCTTTCTTGCTAGGTGGTCTCATATTTAATGGGTTACCTTGGCTGCGACCCTTGTGACATGGACCCACGAGACAGTCGAAACACGGTTTTCGCGAGCAGACGTCTGCAGCTCGTACAACCACTGGCTTGCGACTGGAAGTTGTGTGCTCGTTGGGGTTTGGTTTTCTTTGTGAGCTGCTGCCAATCAACGCACAGCAGTCGGCCGCACAGGGCGGACAGAGTCATCTTGAATCAGCCACAACGAATGTACCATACTGTATCACTGTATGGTACGTGAGGTAGCACAGGATTGTGTCCATGCCCTAGCAAGGACCGCCCGAAAGTTGCAGAGTATACCAGGAGTGGCCATTCGTCGAATTGTCCATTGGATGCTAGCTTGCAAGCTCCTTTATATGGACCTGGAGCACAAGAATCCTGATGATGATAAGGACCGCTGGATAATAGGAACCTCATGTTTAGGAGTCCAGGAGCCCTGAAGTGAAATTCACCCCGAACTGCGAAAGATATGCGCCACCACGCGATGCCGCGAGGATGCAGCAGTCAAGAAGCTTACCGGAGGCACTGCTCAGTTGAAGCTTGGGATTCAGAGTTGGTTTTATGCATAAACTGGAGTTGCATAATTCCTTCAGTTCAAGGACCAAGGATCGGGCGCGAAATTCCAAGCAGAGTTGCGAGGTTTCCTTTGGTCTAAAGTTTGCTTTTTGTCCCTGGATCCTTCAGGTGAAGTCCCTATGCTTCCGGGGTGTAGGGGCTTGGGGTTTAGGAGTCCTCGCGAAAACCCGCGAGCTCGGGGTTCGTGGCATGTGCATCGGGGTTGACAGGCGGAAAGTCTTGATAAGGTGTTTAGCAAAAAGCTCGCATAGAGGTTTGTTTACCTGAACGCAGCTGAAGCTGCACAGCCAAGAAAGACAACGCAAACCTCGAAGCCCAAGGATTCTATCCCCATAGTTAAGAGCGCTTAAGCCCCTTGCCGTCAAGACCAAACCGCGTAAAGTACAAGCCTAACATTTGGAAACCCAACATCCGGAATCTTTAGGGGTAATTAAAGCATATATACCGGTAATCCTCATTAACCCAGATTCCAGCTTTTCGGGTAAACCGTAAACACTGATAAGCCCGAAACCATGAATCCCACACACAGTGGGTAGCTGTAGCCCCCAACCGTTACCAGAAACCCCGAGCCACCAAGACCCCACTCCCAAACTTGAATCCCTGAGGCTCCAGCGGCCTTATAGGGTCTTGTAATACAGGGGCCTTAATGGGGATTCTGTATTAAAACTAGCTATAGTATTACAATATGCCCCAAAACCTTCGAATCATTAAGGCCCCTACAGTAGGGACTTGAAAGTGGGGCAAGAGTGTGAAGCAAAGTGTTCGATCTCCGGGAGGCATTGAAGGCCTCTTCAAGAGAGATAAGGTGCTCTTCGCGAGCTTTTTGGGCTTGGTGGCTTTGGGTTTTGAGACTTGATGAGGCTATGTCAGTAGCTCTTTTCAGTGGTTTCGGCTCTTCAAAGGTCTGTCAGGAAGAAGAGATTGGAAGTTCTGTGGTCAGTGTTCAGAGTTTGCAGTTCAGGCGGGGATGAGGTTCAACGTCGAACTTCCATGCGCGTGATCCTGGTTTAGGCTTTTTTGTGGTTTCAGAGCTCGGCCTTCAGCTGCAGGCATTTAGCCTGTGCAGTTTCTTTCACCCTTGTTGGTGCCGAAAACACACAGTGAAGGCAAGCTGTTGCCTTCACGATGCTTTTGGTGCCAAGACCACACGGTGAAGGCAAGCGGTTGTTGCCTTCACCATGCACTCTGAAGGCAAGCGGCCGTTGCCTTCACGATGGTTGTGGTGCCAAACACAGACACGGTGAAGGCAAAAGGCCGTTGCCTTCACTCTGTTATTATGATCATTATTAGCAGCAGCAACAGCGGCAGGCATGGCGGCCGCAGCAGCAGCAGCAGTAACAGTGGCGGTGGCAGTTGCAGCAGCAGTAGCAGCATTTTGGCGTGTTTTTTTTGCGAGGTTTTCTGATATCTCTGCTACTTTAGGGAACCCCACGCCTTTCAAATCCTGAGACCTTTGCGTGGCCCGGGTCCGGGGGTTCAGAAGCTTCGAGGCATCGTGCCATTGGGCTAGGGGTTGAGAGGGTGTTGAAGGTGTAGAGTAATTTATGGACTTGGCGCGTATTGCGAGTGAACTCTAGTTCATGGTGTTTTGGCGTGTTTCCTTTTGGTTTTTGCGCATGTCGCGATGGGCATATAGGGGAAAGCAGCATTTTCACTTGCCTTTGCAAGCTGTTCGCTCGTGTCGCGATAGGCCTGCCGTGTGGGAAAGCTGTGTCTTGGCTTCCTGTTAATCTTTGCACGAGTCGCGATGGGCCTGTAGTTTGGGAAAGCTGTTTCGTGGCGTGCTTGTGTTGGCCTTTAGTTGTACCGTGGTGGGCCTGTAGTTCAGAAGCCTGCGCTTGGGCGTGTGTGCGCAAGGTTTTGCATGTCTGCGATGGGCTGTTTTGGCGTGCTTCTGCACGGGCTTTGTGCGTGCCACGAGGGGACTGTGGTGTGGGGCAACTGTGTTTTGAAGTGCTTTGCCAGGTGCTTGCGAGCGTCGCCCTGCGCCTCTAGTTGGGTTGGGGAGACTTGCGTTTTGGCGCGGTTTGCCCAACGGTGTGGGTGTGTTGCTGTGCCTGTAGCAGTAGCGGTGACAGCAGCAGCAGCAGCAGCGGCAGCAGCGGCAGCAGCGGCAGCAGCGGCAGCAGCGGCAGCGGCGGCAGCTGCGGCAGCTGCGGCAGCAGCGGCAGCAGTGGCAGTGGCAGCAGTAACAGTAGCAGCAGCGATGGTAGCAGAAAGAGCAGTGGCAGTAGCGCTAGCAGCGTATTTGTTGAAAGCAATGAGAGAGCTAGGTTCCATAAGTCGCAAACATTGTAAACCGATAATAAGGTGTAAAAAACGATAAGGTTCCAAATAGGACCTTGAACTCGTGAAAGGTTTTGACAGGAACCCAAAACGTTAAGATCATTTTGTTTGCTTCTCCCCCCCCCCAACACACGCACACACAATATGCACATGGTCCGGACGTTACGCAAGTGTCCTGCCGGTGCCTGGCCGTTGCCTTCACGATGGGTTTTGGTGCCAAAGAACGCACGGTGAAGGCAAGCGGCTTGCCTTCAGCATGGTTTTGGTGCCAAATGGCCGTTGCCTTCATCATGGTTTTTGTGCCACAAACACACGGTGAAGTCAAGCGGCCGTTGCCTTCACCATGGTTTTGGTGCCAAAAACACACGGTGAAGGGCAAGCGGCCGTTGCCTTTACCAAAAACGCACGGTGAAGGCAAGAGCTCAAAGCCCCAAAATCTCAACAGCCACATCACCAAGCCCTGAAACCCAAGCCCCACATCTCAAGTTCCAGAAACCTAAAGCCTTTAGCGCTAAACCTAAACCCAAACCCCAACGCCAAACCCCAAACCCAAGCACTTCAATCCACATCAGCCCGAAAGCGAAACCGATAACCCCGAAACTTGCAATCAACCTCCAACCCCTCGGAAACCCTTAGCCCTGAACCGAACCCTAAACCCTGAACCCTAAACCCTGCAAACCCTAATTCCTGAACCCTAAAGCTTAAACTCTAAAGGCCTAAGACCCCAACGCCCCAAATCCAAAACCGTACTTGATTGAGGTCAGCTGCAGGGTCCCTTCTTTTCTGCAGGCCCCCACAATTTACCGGACATCTACATGTATGTGTACATACCTTGACATAACCATACATACATACATATACAATACGTCGTCATGCATGTATATATGTACATATGCACACCAGGTTGTCGCCTCTTAAACGCTCGACCTGAGACCTACAACCCTTTCCGACATGTTGCATCTCAGCCCCAACATAGTGTGGCCTTAAATTGGAGGCCGGAAACCCTAAAGCCTTCTGGGCCCTAAACCCTCAGCCCTAAACTCTACACAAGAGGCCCTAAACATGTGGAACCAAGCCAGGTCACCTACTTGAAGGGCCATGGAAAGCTGACCGGACCGAATTCGGCCGCAGTCCTAAAGTTGTGGGGTTGGCCCTTCCCTTTTTGGGTTTAGGGGGCCCTGCCTTTTTTGGGGATACCCGCTGTTGAACAACAAATTGGGTCTTACAGGGTTAGCATCCGCTATATCGGAGTTGAGCTACCCCAGAAAGGCTTGAGTATGATGACCTTCTAGGTGGCATTCGGTGTTTGAGGTTTTGAATCTACGTCTCCACGGGTTTGCGTGCAGGCTACTTGGTACTACAGTGGCCAGGGTTCGGGCACCAAGACACCATGCAAATAAATGAGTTTAGGAAATAGAGGATCCCAATATATGGATCTGATATAGGATCCTTATACTGTGGGATGCCCCCGAATGAGGTACCCTGGTCTGGAATCCCCGCAGCGTAAACAGCAAAACTTGAACTCCGAAACCCGTTCTCCGAACCAAATGACGGTTTCAGACAGGCAGGGACGGCGTCATAATGAGGATCTTACCACTTCAGGTTCTACATTGGCTTCTGATGCCATCTGACACTCCCAAAGTGAGAAGTTCCGGTGCAGTATGCCTTGGTTGTAGGAGCCTTGGGCGACCTGGAACTCCAAAGCCCAAACCATGAGCTCTAGTTTCGCTTGCCCCCAAGAACCTCCGAACTTTCAAGTCAGATCCTGAGCCATAGAAGTCTATAGGCTCCAAACGCTGAGCTCTAGTTCTGAACCGGATTTTCGGTACCAGAAGTTGACATGCACCAGGCTTTGGAAGGTGTTGGCAGTGTTAGCTCTATTGTGCGAGAGGGTTTGTGGGATTCGCGTTTGGGCTCTACAGGGTCTAGCTTTGGGGTCTGGGGAGGATCCGAAACTTGATGGTGTGGGTTTAAGCTCCAGCTTTTGAGCTTAGGGCTGCTCGAAAGGACTTATTAAACCGTTTCGGTAGGGTTGGGAGGAGTCGTTGACCCCTACGCCAAAACCTGCACACCTAAAGCCAGTGAGGTCACGGTTGCGATGAACGACGGCAGCGGCGAGCAGACCATCACAGCAAAGACCATTATGCTCCTCGCAGCGGTCAGTCTTTCGTTGGTTCAGATTAAACTGAAGGGCTTACCCGAAGCCCTACCCAAACCCAAACCCAAAGCCTTACGCTGTGAAGGTTTGGAGTTTGCTGTTTGCATAGCCTGATAGCCTGATGCTCTCTATGTACTCTAGAGGTTCTGGATTATATGGAGCTTTTTGAACCGTAACCCCCCCCGGACCTAAACCTCTAACTAGGCCAGAAAACAGGCCAAGGGAGCTCTTTTCGATCCTTTACAGGAGCTCTTATCGCAACCCCTTTGCATCCCTTATAGGAGCCCAGAAAAAGCAAGCTACATAGATCCCTAAAAGCGGAGCCCTTAGAGCAGCCCTTCTAGATCCCTGAGAGGAGCTCTAGAGGAACCCTTAGAAATCCCTGAAAGGAACTGAGGAACCCTTCCGTATGGCAACCCTTATATAGGAGCCCTCGAAATTAGACCAAAGCCGAGGTTGGCGACGGGCTCCGAAGTCATCGAGAAGCTGCCCTTCGTGTCGGTCGATGAGGAAACGCTGCTCCGGCGAATTTGGCAACATCTTGCTTACTTTCAGGCTTTAAGGACCCTACTGTATATCATGAGGGAACTTTGGTATATTCCGTATGAACGAAATCCCTTTGAGGCTTTATAGGGTTTGATGTGGGTTTTCCTGGTGGCTAATTGGGTTTGCAGAAGGGCTGATGGACGACTACCTGAGAGGCCCTATATAATCCCTACAGAATACGGGAACTGCGGATGTTTGGGTCCAGCCACCCTTGGTTTCGATCTCGTTCCTCCGAGTCTGGGATCTAGAGATTAGGGTTTGAAGTTTAGGGTTTAGGGGTTTAAGGTTCCGAGTATTTGGTTTAGGGGTGCTTTTTGTATTCTCATTCTAGAGTGTAATTTTAACGCTACGCCGCCCGCCTCGGCTGTGTAGCGGCAGGGCGAGGGGCCGTCGATGTTTTTTTATGCTAGGGCGGCCTGTCAAACCCCAACCTTTACACGGTTGTTGATACGAAGTGCGAGGAGAACGGGTACAGGGGGCGGGGGTGAAGGGGGGGGAGGGCTGGGAGGGGGGGAGGGGGGGGGAGGGGAGGGGGAGGGGGGCGGAGGCGGGGAGGGGGGGGAAATGAGGGGAAGCCGGGCAAGGGGCTGGCAAACGAACGCAAAAAGCGGGTGTCCCCAAACATTTGAACCGCAGAAAAAGGATTAGGTGGAGGGTATCTGAGGTAACCCCCAAGGATATATCGGGGTCAGGGTTTAGAATTTTGGGCTCGGTTGGAGACAGATTCGTTGTGTTTTTAAGGACTGTCTGCAGCTAATGCCCTTTTTCAGGGTTTCGGGAGTAGGGCTTTCCCTTGATTTCCTAGACGGGCTCACAAGTCATGCATGATTTTTGGCGGCATCTAGAACCTTGCTAGTTGGTCATTTGGGCCTTACCACAGAGTTGCGCAAGGCTCGATGCCACGTTTAGTTTGCGCTTGTGCCGCCCAATTGCCCGCGGACTCCCAAATTCCGGAATGAGGGCAAGGTTCAGGGCAGACCGTCAGAGATTGAGAGCTGAAACTTGGTTCTCTAGCATAAGCGCAAGCAACCCCAAAACCTGATCCCGACATTTTCCACTCTAGAATACATAAAAAAACCGCTAAACCCCAAAACGCGGAACCATAAATCCCAAGCCCAAGAAACCCTGAATGTAGAGATGTTGCAGCTGAGGATCGTCTCCTCCACTGGGGCTCTCGCTTTGCAACCTGGTCGGAACTCCGAGCCCGAGAGCATAAACCCGAAACCAACGGCCCAACCGCCATGCCCACATTTCTCAACTCCACACCCTGAAGGAAGCCGAAAATTCAGGGCGACGGCATGGTCGAAGCAGGGTATAGTGTCCTTATCTTCGGAGTCAGGGGAACCCAAGCATTCTGGAGCCGGCATATTGGTACTTCACAGTCCCACTTAAAATCATTATTGAGTCAACTGGTTCTCAAAGATGTATTGAGGCACAAGGACTGGCAGGAATGTTTTATTTGCAGACAGGATCTTGATGTTCAAGTCAGTTGCATTGGCATCATGAGGCAGGGATAGCTTCTGCCTACAGAACGCATGGCATTAAGTCTGTATAATCAACAGGGGCTCGACCTGAGGCGCATTTGTTCAACCCGAAACGGCCGGACGAAATGCAAAACAGGCTTGAGACCACAAGCTTATCTCTAAGTCTCTGACTGCCGAACTTCTGTGCAGGACACCAAGGCCTCTATTAAAGATACCTTCCAGGGTTGCGTCTACACCCCTAACGCGAAAACTCTAAGCCTCTCGGTCCTAACCCCTAAGCCCCCAAAACCTTTTCCGGGAGCTTGAAAAGAGAACAAAGCTGAAAAGCACTCAGCAAGCTCAGGAAGAAGGTCCCCGAGAAGCTCGTCGTCATCGGTGGCGGCGTCAGGGCCTTGGGGCGCCCGCTTTTCTGTCTCTCACTACGTGCACATAGATATATATATATATATATATATATACATAGCATTGTAGGATTTGGGAGGTTGCTGTTTATTCATGTTCTTCTCCGGCAATGTTTCATGCCGCATCCAAGTGTTGGAGTCAAGCTCCTAAAGACCAGACCGTTATGCGCAAGCCCGAAAGCCTTTTCGGTTTTGCTTACGTTGTCGCGGTGAGACGGGTTTCGAAATGAAGAACTGCTTGGACCGCTCCAAACCCTCAACCCTAAACCCTACTGTCACGGTTGACAGACAAAATCCCGCACTAGCGCGACTGCGCTATCTATTTAGTCCCTGAACCATCAAAATGATTCCTCTAACTTGCGCACCAACAACGAAACAACACCCCTACCCATGTCCTTACGACTTGAAAACCGAGGTGATTGGCCTCGAGTTAGGTTCCGTCTACGAGCGCTTGGGCTCTAAGGTCACAGCCTCTCGTCGGCAGGATGGTATCCGTGCTCGGAAGTGGACGAGTGCCAACATTATCCTGTAACCGATGCGTTTTAGCATGCTGTCTCTTCTTCTTCTTCTTCTTCTTCTTCTTCTGGTTCTTCTTCTTACACACTGTCTTATCTCCAGGGTCGCTGCCACTCACAGCACACGTTCGATTGAACCCCCTGCATTCGCTTTGATGGTGTTACATCTTCTGGTCTCCGAGCCTTCGATGGGTCTACACAGCCTTTGGCCCGACCTTGAGCCAATTACTGGGTTCTTGTTAGGGGTTGAATCATTTAAGTTACTAATTATCGGGATCTATGGTAAATAGTATAGTTTGGTGATTCTGGTGACTTAATTTAAACCCCTGAACAAGAACCCAGCGTTAAACAATGCTTAACTCCAGGCCTCCCCCTACGCTTCAGGAGTGCTTTGTATCCTCCCTAACCTGAGTCCTCGGAACCTCAAGCCAACCCCTAAAACGTAAATCCTGAACCCGAAACCGTGGGCGTTTGCTGATTAAGGGTCATGTAGTAATCGCTTATAGTAGTTAGGCCTTAAAAGACCCTAAACCCTTAGCCCTGAACCCTAAGGTAAGGCTCCTCGTAAGGCAATTTTAACAGGAGCCACCCGGCCCGCTTGAGGAGGTTCCTTCGGCCCGAGATCCCGACTTTTCTTCCTACTATAGGCGCGTTGATAATTCGAATAGGGTTTTGGGGCCCATTATACTATAAAAATAATAAGGAACCCCAAAAGAGTCTAGGTAGTTAATAAGGCCCCTTTTTTACTGTATCCTACACCCTAAACCTAAGCCTTTATTGAAAGCTTACAGAACCTTTGATGAAAAAAACGCTGTTCCTTCTGAACCCTAGCCTACGCGCCTAGCCCAGACAGAAGCCTAGCAGAACCGTGAAACGAAGATTGATCCCCAATACCCAACCTTCTTATAGTTTAGTAGGAATCGGAAAGTTTAACCGCTTATTTCTGTGGCTTATTGGGGGAGTAAGAACACTTGAAGCTTTCTCTCGAGCTTTCGGGTATTCCATTCGTTCAAAGCTCGACCGTCGGCGAAGGTTGTCGAGTTCCTGCCCACCATTGGAGGTGGCTTCCCTTCTGTCTTAAAAGTGTTTTATAAGGGCTGCAAAAGTTTCATATGGGTTTTGTGAATGTGCTATAGGGGTGTTCTAGCCCAAGGGTTCCGAAGGACGCAATGATAAGGTACTTGGGTTTCGGATAGTAACAGTGTAGGTTAGTCAGTTTTGGAGAGAGTCTATGATTATGGCGTGTTTGAACCGTTAGGTTAAACCTCCCCGCAGCCAATCAAGCAGTTCTCGGGGATGTGATGCATTGTGATGGGGTAGTCACTTGCTGTAAGGCTTGCGGATGTGTTGGTTTCATGGTGCTTCAATCGGTTTACTAGTAACAACTATCCACCTAAGCTTCGTCTTGGTCTCTAGCAAAAGAGGCAGAAACGTGTAACCTTCTTGATTTGGGACTTTGGGTACTCCTTTTGATATCGGAGAGCATACACACACGCACACACAACAGCACTAGTGCGCAAACAAAGGGACACCCTGCAGTAAGACTTACTAGCTTAATTCGAAGACAGCCCTTAACGATACCCCTAAACCCTAAGCCCAAACCCGAGCAAATGAGGCTAGCTTGGGCCTGTGGCCTGCGAACCTAGGGCACTGTTGCGTGCGAGGTGTCGGCATCGACAGCGAGGTGTCCAAAGAGATGCAGAAGATTCTGCGACTCGCCCACTTTGTCGATCTTGGGTTTCGCGTTTGTTGGGGGACTGCAGTCAGTAGCAGTCAAACCCTTACCACAAGTACGTAGACCTAAACTCCGAGCAAAGCCTTGCACAGCTGATGCAACTTCAAGTCAGGGTTCTATAAGGTTTCCTCCCAGTGTTCCTTTGAGGGTTCCTTTAGGGCTTCTTCTAGTTTCGGGGGTTCCCTTACGGGTTCTATGGGGAGCCCCCTGGCATCAGAGGCGAAGGTTTCAGGACGACTTTTGCGGGGGTTGTGCGTCCTTGACTGCAAGGATGGGACTCTGCTCTAACACCATTCCTAAGGTCCAAACTGCCGCACTTCCCCTACCCGAACCACCGAACCACCGAACCATCCCCATCCCCACTTCACCTTCGCATGGACTTGAGCCTTGGCCCCTCCCGGGGGCTCCCGCCGGGAGCTCTTCAGAGGCCCCCAAAGAGAGCCCTCAGCCCAGCCCAGCCCAAAGGCCCAAAGCGAAAGAGAAAAAGTCACCCCAACCCTTTGACCGCCGCTCCTGCGCTCCTCTTCCTCCGAGCCGAGGAAGAAGCAGGGCATGTCTTTCATGCTCTCGACCAAGGCCCAGGGATGCCCATGCGCATGGATGCATCACTTCCGTGTCCGGGCCGGGGGTCATGAACAGTTGGGCCGTCCGTTGAGGAGTATACGGGTCCTAAGCGTCGTGAGCCAGATGCATACGGCAGAGCTTCTTACAGGGGTACCCATAGCTCCTTTTTGGGGATTACCTTTTAGCATCCTAAATATTATGCATCCCAGAAAGGAACTACTATGGGGCCTTAGGGTAGGCTAGGCCAAAATACCTGCGAGGTGACGGGCGTGGAGAAGACCGGGTCCGGAGTCAAGGCCTAGGGAAGCGTAGCGGAGCGTGGGGCTTACGGATTAACAAAGACCTAACAGGGCCGAGTTAAACCGCGCAGGTCACCACCGAACCGGCAGCTGGCGGCGCGGCTGAAAGTATGGCTCCGGCCTCGGATCAATCGGCTTCCCCTTTCAGGTTGTCAAACCTCTAGGGGTCTAGGGTTTGGGGTTGGGTAAGGGTTCAGTAGGGGTTTAGGACTTTAGGGGTTTAGGGTTTTAGGGCTTTGTTTTTTAGGGGTTAAGGTATCTTTAAGGGTTTAACCCTGAGGCCCTGAGGCTTTAAGGACCGGATTTTCCGTCTTCTCCTGCGACGCTTTTGGACTATTTTCGGGGCTAGGGTCAGCGACTTGCTTATTTAGGGTCTAGGTTTCTGGTTTAATAGTACCTCTTTGTTTTCTTGCGGACGTGTGATTTCGAGACCTGAACAGTACGAAAATGGAAAGCCGGGAAAAGTATTGTACAAATAAGACACACGGATCATCTTGGGGACTCCCAAAACCAGCTTTCCCAACAGCTCCTTTCGGAAAGGTATCAGTCTCAAACCCCGAGGTCTGGTCCTTGTTTAAGGTTTCAGGCTGGCATCTCAGATTGTTAGTAGTCTTTTTTAGGTCAGGATATCTGGGGAGCTGAAACCTCCTTAGACACGGCTCTTCGGTAGTGTTTCGCACTTCTTGCAGTGTTCTAGGGTTCCCGATCCGAATCACTAATCACTTTAAGACGGCTCCCACACGCAGCTTCTTGCGCTCCAGGACGCGGATGTTGTCCTCGTTTGCGTGGGGCGCAGGGAGTTCCGTTGCAGCCTCGGGGTTCAGCCTCGGAGTTTGAAGTTTCGGCTTTAGGTTCTGAGGGCTTCATTATGGTAATCGGTTCCGAAACCCCTAACCCCCAAACCCATAGCAGGGATAGCCTGTGGAGCCGAAGTCCTTAGTCGGGACATGGACCGTCTCGGGTTTGGTGTCGAGCCGAGAAAGTGCTCCTCGCCACTGGCATTGGACTAGGGTTTGAAGGGCCTTGGTTTTCGGGCTCAGGGTTCAGCTCGGCAGTTTTAAGTAAGAGTTTGGGATACGGGTCTGTAAAGCACCCTAAACCCTAAACTGAAACCTGAGAAGAAGCAGACATCGGAAGCTTTGGGTGAGGCGAGGCGCATCGCTTCCGGTTCAGTCCCAAGAACATTAGTACAAAAGCCCCAAACATCAAATGCTTAGAAGCTCTGACGCCTGCAAGTCCCAAACCCCCGAAACCTGTCACCAAAAGCCGCATAAACTGTACACTCTCAACCCGAAAGCCTAATTCAAACCCTAAACCCGTTTCAGGATTAGCGATCAGGCTTGAGGATCCTCGAAAGAGTAAGCGGCTGCTGCCGTCAGATCCCGATGCCAGAAGAGTCTTCGTATACGCTCGGGGATCGGTTCAGCCCTTGTTAACTTACGGGCTCTTCTTCACCACCTCAGGTAGGTATTGAGATACAACTGCAGGAAATAGAGGACCCCATGTAGGGTAAGGTTTGCGGGTTGAAGCCACTGGGATCCTTCATGCAAGGACCCCCAACAAGAAGATACCCCTTGCTGTTGAAGCTCCCATATCCTCTCCTCCTTTAAACCCTTAACCTGACACCCTCACCCCAAACTCTGAGTGCATGATCTATTCAGTCCGATACTTGTACACTGAAGTTATCGCGCATCGAGACGGCAACCAGTAGGCGGGACACCAAACTCTCGGAACTTCAACAAATGATGGCCGTACCCTAGCTTCTTTAGGGTTCTATATCAGGCTCATTTCCTCAAACCTCCCACGTGGAAGACCCTCCATGGAGCTTGAAAAGCCTCGAGACAAATGAACATCTCAATGAAAAGACTATGTATTTATGTATACTTATCTATTTGCTTATCCGTTTACATTCTCTGTGTGTTTACATTATTTACGTATAGCCCATATAGCCCACAAACTCATAAACCGAGCCTTAACTGATTTTCACCCCACCAGGCGACGGACTTGGCGCCGAAGACGTTGGTGTAGCCCTGGAAGGCAAAAAGGTCAAGGCCACCTTGCTGCGATCTCCTCTTTGTTCTATTCTTTACGGTTCCGTGAGCCATAGATTCTTCTTTCTGGTTATATGAACCATAAAGCCGTAAAGTTCCTAGACAGCTGTAAACTGTCACTTAAACAAGAAGTCTGACCTAAGACTGGTATCTGAACCGCAAGCATAGGCCGAGACTCTTGGTTCCGAAACAGAGAACTCAGACCTGGCAATACGGTCAAGGTTTCAGGATTGAGGCTTCCTTTACTTCACAATTCCCTTCATGGTTCCCTTCAGGGTTCTATGAGGCTTCTTTGGGGTTTAGGTTTCAGGGGTCAGGGTATATCGAGATGCTCAGTTTGTGGGGTTTGGGTTCTGAAAGCTAAACTTCGGGTGTGAGATTTTGGAAGATGAGGTTCTAAACAGTTCTCAGTGATGGACAAGCCTTTTACCGCTGCTTCAATTTGGGAGTTGACCGTTGCAAACAGTCCCCAAGTGAAGCCCGGACCCTACGCCCTTCCTTATCCCTCATATAACGCCCTAACTCAGGACCCGGATAGGAAACCATGTGGGAACCCTTGACCTTCCAAGCTCCATCAGCAGGTCAACGATGAGTTCCAGACCTCTGTGCCCTCGATCTACGTCGCGTGGCAATGCTTTGTAAAATGGCGTGTAGGGCTTGGGTCTAGGGCTACGGGTTTCGCATGTTCAGGGTTTTGGGGGCTTTTGAGTCGTATTCACGGCATGCAAAAAGCAGCCATTGTGACAATCGGCACTAAGTGCTCGAATCTCCTGATTCGGCCTGATTCCTGATTCCACAGATGGCCTAAGGCCAGGGTCCAGTGCTCGAACACTCGAACACCAGGCCATTGGCGACATCATTCACGGCCCAATGCTGGCGCACAAGGCCGTGGCATTGGGCCTCCTGCTTTCCACTTCCAGTTTGCATCAACAGCTGCTTGAACCGGTTCCGCATGCCGTTTTCAGTTTCATATTCAGAGGACCATGCCCATATGAATTGAGACCGCTATCCTTTGGCTACCTCCACAAGCATAGACTTGCGTTGAGTCGAGGCGGATTTGTCACTACCACGTTCTCCGAATAGTATCTTCCTCTTTTCTTCGCTGTCTGGGGCTGCAGGGAAGCTTGAGAAAAAACTTACAAACTCCTGTACCAGAATCAACCCAGCTATCTATGAACAACCATCAAGATACAAGATATGTTGCGGTATATCAGCCGAGAATTCGTCAGATCCAAACAGCACCTCTGCAAAACCTCGTTCAAGATCTTGTAAAGTCCGCAAAAGAGCAATACCCTTCTAAGCCTCATTGCCAAACTCGCATGAAGAGCTGTCACAACCCCCAAATCCCTGAAACCCGAAAGGGAAGCCATAAAATCCTCAGCCCTACCCAAGACCCTAGCCCCAAGCCCTAAACTTACCGTTGGTTAGTAGGGAATGGGAGAATGGTAGCAATAGTAGTTATAATTGTACCCCATTCCTCCATTCCCTACTAACCAACGGCAAGTAAACCCTGAAATCCTTGAAACCCCAAGCCCCAAGCCTTCGAAACTGAGCGTCGGTGAGGCAGAAGACGAGGGAGCCATGGTCGCAGAGTTGCTTGGCGTGGATACTTCGTACGCGTACTTAGAGAAATACTTGTTGGCGTTTGGTTACTCAAATCCCTAAGAAACAGCTAGAATTGTCATGTTTGAACAGGTTCCAAGTTCAGTACAGACTTATGGGTTCGGAGGATTCTAGAGTTTAGGAGATTTAGGCTTTGGCTTCAAGGATTTAGGGTTCAGGGTTTCTGCGGGATCACAGAAGTGGCCGCAGAGTTCGGGGGTTACAGATTCTGAAGCCGAATTCATGCCTTAGGGTTTGGAGTTTGAAGGGGGTGGGGGGAGGGGGGGTTGTTCGGAAGCTCTAAATGCAGTGGGGCCCAGGTCAGGAGACCCTAACCGCTTGGGAATTCATGCTCTCAATGTCCAGTTCGCTGCAACTGGGGCTTACGGCTTCAGGGCTGATCCGGGATTAGTGGCTGAGACTCTTGCCGGTATGATTGTGGATGGCATTTTTTGTTGGATTCCGCCCGGATGTCTCAGTGCGCACGAATTCTGACTGCTAGCTCGCCGTGACTTAGGGTTAGCTGGCGCAGCTAGAGCCCCTTACAACATGAGCGGGAGTGTCAGCTGCTAGACCCTAATGAAACCCTACGCCCTAAACAGGATAAGCCCTAAACTACCAAACCCTAAACCTAAACCCCAGGTACCTGGCCACCGGCAAGAAGCCCCACCTCGACTACAACAACGCAACTTGCTGATTATGCTGGTTCCAGGTTTCAGGTGTAGAGCTTGGGGCTCAGGGTTTAGGATTCGTGGTGGGGTGGAAAAATCAAGGGTATACAACAAGACATGGACCTTGAAATCTGTAACCGCCACTTTCCTACCCGAAGGCTCTGGCGAATCTGCAAAAGACGGCCCCGGCTCTTTTTTCCGATCTTCATCCCTCCAGAGTTGACCGGAGAGCACTTAAAGTGAAGGGCGCCACCCGTGCCTCAAGGCTCTAAGGGAAATGTCGCATTTCAGGCTTTTAATGAACCTTTGAGATGGGCCCCCCTTTTGGGGCATGTCTTGAGGGTCCTGTGGTCTTTACAACCTTCAGCTCTCAAAACCCAACACACATGCAGCCAGAAAAGGAACTACATACCTAACTCTTCCCGAAGTAGGTCCTATATGGGTGCTTAGGACCCGTTGAGAACGAAGTAACGATGCACTGCCCGTAGAGTCCGAGACGGTCCCATCAGAGTCCCATCTAATCATTCATCTAAGGTGTTCAGTGGTTTACCGTGTTAGTTTGCTGGTCCTGGTTCCGATTATATTCTACAAACCCCAAAAGTACATACTTTGTCTACCAGGGTTACAGGACGAGCTGGTCATGAAGCAAACCCCCAAAGCCTGAGCAGTAGACCGTAGACGCGCACAGTCTGGTCCACTGTGAGGTGCCTTCTGTGCTGTACACGCATCCCGAGGCCTTGAGATTTGTTTTAAGCTTAGGGTTCACGGGGTTCATGGGTCAGGCTTAGGGCTTCAGGTGTTTAAGAGTCTAAGGTCAGAGTTTAGGTTTAAGGGTAAGGGTTGTGGGTTGCGGTTTCAGGGCTTATAGTTCTCACGAGAGCAATTTACTTTAGGTGCCGTGGGAGGCTGAACGTTCGAGACAGCCGGGTGCTAGAAACGAGCGCTGGTCGGCCTTCTTTATATTTCTTTGCTGTCTGCTACTTGCTGAATGTATGATGTGTTGTTCAAGGGCGCTTCAGGTCAGAAATCGATTTCTTGCAATTTGTTCCATGTTGTTGTAGTGTTGCTCCGACCGAGTTCGTTACAAGCACTAGACAAGTTTCTTTGCTTGCTGTGAATGAGGGCTGAGCTGCAAACCTCTTTAGCAAGGAGCCTTACTCCCCAAGCCCTAATCTCTTTAATCCCGAAAGTCTTTTGAAGCTATCTGTGCTCATCAGCCAGCCTCCAACTGGGCCCGTGTCTAGTTTCGATCGCAGCTGCCACGTTCAAGCAAGATGCCTTGAAGTTTCTTCAAGAATAGATGATTGCAATCGATGTGGCGACACAGTGTCCATGTTGCAAGTTCCTGCAACAATCCTAGGATTGTTGAGTGAGTTCGGGAATGTTACCCGATAGCAGCCTGAATTGCAAGCCCTCACTGGTCATTCCTGAGCCCCAAACCCTGAACTCCAAGTCTCGAACCATATCAACCTTAAGCCCCGAACCCGAGCCTGAAAATCGCTAACCTACATCTTCAGGCCTAATCCCCCCAAACACTGAACCCTCCAACCCCTAAGCCCTACAGCCCGAAACTATCCATCTGCATTCCTCAAGCGCCAGGTTGCCTGGGTCGGCAAGTCTGAGGATCAGCTGAAGGCAGAAGGTGCACGACCCTACATCCGAAACCCTAAAAGCCTTGAAATCAATCCAAACAAAAACCTAAGAACCCCTGAATGCCCTAGCCCTAAACACGGTTTCAGGGCAAGGCTTCGGCGAACAAAAGCGAGCCGTCGTACTTCTGTTACTACAATTTCCTTCGACGTTTTGGGTGGTTTCGGTCTAGGGTTTAGCGGGTTTCGGGGGCCCAAGGGTTTAGGATTCCAGAGTCTACGCTGTGGTTATTCTACCCTGAGGTCCAAGTACCAAAACACAAGTTCAGAGCAAAGTCGCGGGGACCGAAAACCCCTCTAGTTGGGTACAAGGACCCCAGAATTAGTTTGGGGTTTAGTTTCTACTGCCGGAAAGACAAAGATATAGCTGGAAAGCAGAAGCAGCCTGTCCCTCCGGACATTCTTGGCTGCGACCCCACGCCCCTCGCATCAAACAGCAAAACAGCCCTTGGTGATAAACAGATGCCTGCACGATTGTAACACGAAGTCGCCGAACCCGCCCCGCCGAAACCTAACGGACCTAAGCCCCAAACCCCGAAATAAACCCTACCCTAAAGCTTCAAAACACAACTTTCAACGCCCTAAACGCCCCCCAAAGAAACCAAAGAAAGCCTCCCTCAACGCTTCAAGCAGGTGTTGCTTTCCGAAAGGGCAAGTTCTCCTTCGCAGCCAACGGCCGTTCCATCGCCAACATGGACACTGAGGGCTTCGTCAAGGCCTCCGTAATAGTCTTAGTAATGGTGAGAGTACGTATAAGTAACGACAACATGCACACAGTGCAATCACAGCAAAGACACTCATAGCAGCAGCCACAACAGCAGCAAGTAGCAAGAGTCGGTTTGGTAGTCTGGAAATATGCTACAATGTCCCGTTGCATGTTCTGGATGTGGCTTCAACCACTTTCAATGGGTGAGAAGGAACCGTACTTCAAGGTTTTGGCCAAGGACGGCTTCGGATACTTCCAGGATCTGAGGGCCTTTCGCGCTCGCAAACGCCTTACATATGTTTGCAGGAACCCCCAATTATATCCTGCTTCATCACCTGGGGCCATCCAGACTGTAGACTGTGGGGTTCACACAAGTTGCCTAGTGGTACGTCCGTCGGGACAGTCGCTGACTGCAAGACCTACCCACCGTAAGCCCTAAAGGCCCCCAACAATCTCAGCCTTAAACGTACTTAGGTGCCGAACGAAGAGGATGCACTGACTTGGCCAACCGCTCTGAACCCAGGATCCAACCAGAGCTTCAGGCCCTCGCAGCCTCTGCCCGAAGCCTAGAAGATCCTAGACTCCTAAACCCTCAACCCTGCCAGGTCAACCCCCAAACCCCCACAGCTCGACAAGACCCAAAAGTGATGTCAGAAGACCACATCCGCCCTAAGCTCCAAGACTTGGACCCCAAAGCCTTGATTGAACTTGTGATCGACGCTAAACCTCCGGCCCTGAAGCTTTAGACCTCGTTTCTTCCTCCCTCATTCCTGCATTCTAGACTTTGGATTTGACCAGTCCTATTAACCCCCCAAATCCCAAATCCCTTTACCCCGAAGCCCCAACCCCTGACCTCTAAACCTCTAAACCCTCTTCTTAAAAGCTCCGAGCGGCAGGTCCTCTCCTGCAAAGAGACCGACAAGCTCTTGGGCGTTTCTGAGCAGCAACACAAAGACTGAGACTCCAATATCCCGTCGTTTAGGGTTCGTTGTAGAGGATCCCTGCTCTCATTCCAGGAATAGTTCTTAATGAAGGAGTTTTAGAGTCCTTGGGAAGTTTTGGGATTTAGGGTTTTTAGTCAGTGCTTGGGGTGGGGTTCGGAGCAGGCCTTGGATTTCGGGCTTCGGTTTCAGGTTTTAGCGGGGTTTGAATGCAGACTTGGCCAAGGTAATTACGGCCCCAGGTGTCTTTTGCCCCAACAGCTACCAAATTTGTCGCAAAAACAGACGGAGCTGGCCAACCGCTTTACGAAAAACTGCCGCGCTCTTGTCACTCGCATGATCTTTGTACCTCATCCAGGTCCACATCATCAACGCCATTGCTGGCGACATCATCAGCGCCTTGGCGATATAGTCCATGACAGTTGCTGATGGGTCGGGGCCCAAAGCGCGGCACACCCCTAAAGGAGCCCTTCACAAGAGTTCTGAAAGCAATTTTTGTGCGGAACCCTGCAACAACCCCATAACGTGTCTCATGAGTGTAAAGATTCATACAGTTAGACAATCTTATCAGTGCAAAGACCTCTTAACCATCAGAGGAACCCTTATCACGGAAGCCCCATCAAAAGGAATCTAAACTACCCGACGTTGAACAGAAAACCCCCTATATAAAAGGAGCCCAAGAGTGCTTGCTCGCCGTAACCTACTAAGGAACCGTGAACACGAACCGAACAAGTCCCACCCAAACCTTTTTCCAAGCCCTTGAAAAAGCCCAAATAGTTCGCCCAAATCCGCAAGTCCCCAGAAGGATTCCAAACAGTCCTTAAACCCCTGAACCCTAAAGCCCTAAACCCCTGAACCCTAATCTGCCTTGCCAAGGCGGTGCCTGCATCGGCATCGAGTACGGCGCAGCCTCCGAGGTGCGGAATTGTTTTCTAGGGGTTTAGGGTTGCGGGCATGGTTGGGTGCTTTTTGTCTGGGATTCTATGAAGGAGTGCTTCGAAAGCTCATACTGGGGTTGTATGCTCTTTGCTTCTTATGGGTCGGTTCAGGGTTGCAGGGCTGCTTTCGAGTGTTACTTTTGAGGCCTTTGGCGGTTTGATAGCCCGACGATTGGGCGTGGGGGCTTGGGGTTTGGGCCGTGTTTTCGACCTCGTAAGTAGAGGCTTAACTCCATGTCGGGTATGTCTAGGCCCCCTTTTTCCCAAACCCTTATGTTGTTTTGGGAGGTCTCCTCATTGAAAAATGGCCCAGGGAGAAAGATGACCTTTGAATATTCATACTATTGGAGAACGTAGTTTGCACCCACAGTTAAACACAGTTGGATGGGAAGTCTAAGTCAACGCCAATCGTCGGGTGAACGCTGGGAAGGAAACCGTATGAGTTTAGTCTGAGAGGCACTACGCCTACCAACTTGTTGAACCAACAAAAGGGGGACTACAAGGGAGATCATAGGTTAATTTGGGGCAGCTTATATCAGTCCTTAACGTTGAGTTTAGAGCCTGACTCTAAACCCTGGTAAAGGAGCCCCAAGCAGAACCCTTGGAAAGAAGCCCCTAAACGCTGAACCGTAGGGGCCCTACTTGGAGGTTCATGGGCAGTTATGAGTAGGGTTATAACTAGGGTAGCTATACTTATGACCCATATTAAGGGACTTCTAACCCTACTTACAACTACCCGTGAACCTCCAAGTAGGGTCTTTGGGGTTTAGGGAAAGTCCCCTGATATGGGTTATAAGTATAGTTACCCTACTTATAACCCTACTTATAACCTTCTATGACCCTCCAAGTAGGGCCTAAACCCTAAACCCCTAAACCCTAAACCATAAACCCTAAACCGTCATGTCATGCCATTGCTTGGGAAGGATTTGGCGAGAGTCTGCATGGCCCACCCAACCGTCTCCGAGGCTTGGGGCCCAGGGTTTGGGGATGTTTAGGGATCCTTGGGCGTTTATTAGGGTTCCTTTAAAAGGTACTATAAGGGGTACTATACGGGATCTATAATAAGGGTACTATCTCGAAGGGCTCGGTAAGGGTTTTCTCTAACAAGGTTTCGGTTTTGGGTTCTGTAAGGGCTCGTCTTGTTGAATCAGTGCTCTGTTTTGGGGGGTTTCGGGTTTTGATGTGTTTTGTTTTGGCTTCAGAGGTTTTGGCTTTGCGATCCCTAGGCTTTGGGGGAGATACCAACACTAGCAATTTCTGGTATGTAAGCTTTTCCACTATGTATTTACCCCAAGTTTCAAACCTTTCCATAAAACTTTCTCATGCCCCAGGAAAAATGTATATAAAAGCCCTAACAGTCCCTGACACTCTAAACCCATAAACTCTTCACCGTTCCGAGGAGGTCCTCAAGGCCTAAACCCTGACGAAAGTAGCCCTTAACGGAACTCTTTCAGGAACCCAAAACCCCCTCTTCCAAAAAGGCCCTAAACCCTAAAAGCTCCTGCGACAGAAAAGGCCATCCAACCAAAACAGAAAGGACTATTGTGGCGTGTATAGATAAGCAGTGCTTACAGGTTCAAGAGTAGTAGTAGTCGTAGTAGTAGTAGTAGTAGTAGTAGTAGTAGTAATAGTAGCCCTCTTCCAAAAAGGTCCTAAATCCTAAGCCCTAAACCCTAAGCTTCCAAAAAGGTCCTGAAGGGCGCATCGCAGAAGACCGCTTTCGGTAAGGCCGTGAGCGGTTGAGCAAGGCCCCGAGCGCGGTTTTGGTTTCTTCCAGCCTTATGTAATAAATACAACGACTCACAAATAGATATAGGCAGATGAGGATACATGTGTAAGAACCGATACAGTATGAATATACTGTTTCCTGCTGTTGATAAAGGATTCACTCAAAGGGTGAGGGGACAATTAGGGTTTGGGGCTTAGGTTTTAGCGTTTAGGGAAGTGCCCCAAACCCAAGGTCCTTGGCAGGAAGTCTCGAGTCCCAATTTAATGGGTTCCTTGGAGCATTGGAGTTATCAGTATATCAATCAGCGTTGTTCCTCATTCCGAGATGTCTTCTAGCCTATTTACTATGTCTGGTAAGGCTTCAAGCACAGTTTATCAGCTACCCGTTGTGGTTGAGGGTTTGAAAACAGAAACGCAAAAGCAAACGAAGCCCTGAACCCCAAACCCTAAACCCCAAAACCTGAACCCCCAAACCAAACAAACACCCGTGTAGAACCACCGGAAAGCGCCTTCATGGGACCCGTTAAGGCTTCTTCTGAGGGCTTTTGGAGATCTGAAAGGCTTCGGGTTCGGCTTTCGGGCTTCAGGCCTTGGGAAGGATGTTGGGTTGAGCTGGACTTGTGGTATTTGGGCTTAGAGCTTAGGGCAATTTGGACAGGCTTGATAAACGAGTGGGCATGCTGTTTCATGCAACTTCGTCAGAGGGGTGTTAGAGGAGACGTAAATGGCGTTCCGTGTCCTGCTCCGGTGGTGACATGTAACCTGCTGGCCTAGATTCGCCCCCAATCCCAAACGGACATGATCGTTTGAGTTCAGATTGCAGCCAAGCGACCACAGAGCCGCTGCATATGGATGAGCACGGCGAGATTGCAGGAACCTTGGGGCCCATCCGGTGGGGCTGAAGGACATATGGAAATCCTTCATCCGACTGGCCCAGAAAAAGTGGATGCCCTGCAGAGCCTGCCAGCAGCTCTTCGACAAGACGTTTCCCGCGGACCCTAAACCCAAAGCCCGAAACCCCATAAACACCAAGCTTCTAACACTGTCTACCCTAAGCCCTAAACCAGCACTCAAGCCGAAACCCTTGAAGCCTAGGCCCCGAACCGTAGATCCCTCGGCCTTCTTCTCGATGCCCCCCAAAAAAAAAAACTTTCAAAGGGCATGGATGTAGGATTCTGTAATGTAGGGAGCCTCCTTTGTCAGCACAGGGTTTCTTTCAACGGTTCCTTAAAGGGGTCTATAAGGCAAACTCTATGAAGCCCAATCTCGCAGCGGCATACGGAAACATTGAAATGTAGCTTAGGTGTTAAAGATTTGGGGTTTTGGTTTAGGGTTTGAAATGCTTCAACCCGAATCTAGAACCATCAATGACAAGAAGTGGTCATGGAAGCCACAATAGATTCACAGCAGCACCCTAAACCCGAAACTGAAAAACGAACTCAACCCTGCGCCCAGAACCCTTATAGTCAACAAATCAGGAGTTGCCGACAATTAGGGGTACTTCAGTTTGGGGTCCTTATAATAAGGATCCTACAAAAAGGATTCCATACTAGGGTCCCCTCAACCCTGAAGCCCCTGGACCCTAAACCGTAAGCCCTTTTCGGAAACCCCCAAACCAGGAGTTGCCTTTCAGCACCACGACGGGGCGGCGCCTCATCCCAGTCGGACAGAGGCACTTGGCTGTGCCCTGGACAGGGACAGGAATCCTTTAGAGGGGTTGGTTTAGGCTTCCTTTAAGGGTTCCGTTTATGAGGGCTACCATTAGGGCTACTATGATGGTTCTGTATTAGTGGCCGAAAGAAGTACCAAAACTGTTTTGGTGGCTCATGATTGTAATTGGAGGTGTTGGTGTCTTATGTGTTTTCTTAGGATTTTGTGGCTTCAGTATGTTTTGAAGTGTTGGTGGTTTACAGTGCAAGCGGACAACTTGAAAAATCATGATCCTCCTGTTCGAAAAGCAAAGTATAGGGAATCCCAGTGCAAATGATCCTGAATCTAGGAGATTGGGGTTTTGGTGTTTGGGGATGAGTTGGGGTATGGGGATCAGGGCAACGAACAGTGCAGGCTTAATGTTGAGGGCTCCACTTCTAAGTTTGTGCACCTGACTGACTTGAAGCTTTGGGGCAAAAGCGAAAGGGCCGCCTACCCTAAGCCCCAGACCCAAAACCCATTCCAAACCCCAAGCCTTCAAAACCCCAATTCTTGCCTTGAACCCGCAAAACGCTAAACCCAAGCAGCC